ACTCATATAATCACAGTTCCTGAGTGTACAGCAACTGGCTATTGCCTGGGAGAAACTCCAGTGTAGGCACTGAAATTACATCAGTGTAATTAAGAGGAGGAACTACCCCAAGGGAAAGAATGAGAAGGTGGTATATGAAAACAAACATTGGCACACCACATCTCTCAAATGCAAGTGTTTTGCTGTGAAGAGTGTGAAATGAAAGCTCGGCAGTCTCCAAGGAGGCACATTACGTGTGCCACAGCACTGCTGCCCTGTTTGAGTGCAGGAAGGCAATCTCCCATGCGTGCCTCTAACTTCCACTCCACCGTGTCTATCAAACCACCCTCCAGACACAATTTTTAGCATGTGGAGGCCCTGACAGCCAAAAGTAGGAGGACTGCGCTTTCCCTCAAGTCCTCTTTTAGGTGTTGCAAGTAGAATCTGTTACTAACAGATCTTGAAACGGAATGGCAAAAGGCCAGGCTAGCTAGAGATGTTTGGAAAACGAACATTGCGATTGCATAATATTGTGAAAACCGAGATTGCTATTTACAGAGTGCTTATGCTGTAAGATCAGAAGCTGTTCCACATGAAATTGTGTTTCAGTACTCCCACATACCCACTGGAGATTTTATTGGAATGGGATTCTCCAAAAACAAAGAAAAAAATCCAATACCAAACAGGCTGTACAGAAGTAGAAGCTCCCATAAGAAAGAGTAAGAATCACAGAATGGTTTGGGTTGGAAGGGACCTTAAAGATCATCTAGTTCCAACCCCCCTGCCATGGGCAGGGACACCTCCCACCAGACCAGGTTGCTCAAAGACTCATCCAGCCTGGCCTTGAACCCCTCCAGGGATGGGGCAGCCACAGCTTCTCCGGCACTGGAGACCAACACTGCTTAACATCTTTGTTGGTGACATGGACAGTGGGACTGAGCACACCCCCAGCAAGTTTGCCAACAGCACCAAGCTGTGTGGTGCGGTCAACACGCTGGAGGGAAGGGATGCCATCCCCAGGGACCTGGACAGGTTCAGGCAGTGGGCGCAAATTCAGGCCGGGCAGAGAACAGATTGAGAGCAGCCCTAAGGAGAAGGACTTGGGACCATTGGTTGATGGGAAGCTCAACATGAGCCAGCAATGTGAGCTCGCAGCCCAGAAAGCCAATTGTACAAGGAGTAACAGTTTTAAAGTGAAAGAGGGTAGGGTTTAGATTAGATATTAGGAAGAAGCATTTTACACTGAGGGTGGCGAAATGCTGGCACAGATTGCCCAGAGAACTGGTCAATACCCCATCCCTGGAAACACTCAAGGTCAGGTTGGACAGCACTTTGACCAACCTGATCTAGCTAAAGATGTCCCTGCTCGTTGCAAGCCGGTTGGACTAGATGACCTTAAATGTCCCCTCCAATTCAAACTATTCTACGATTCCATGATTCTAACTGTGATGGAGACAATACAGTAATTAACACGAACATCTCCCAGACTTTACTGCAGCACACCTGCAGTATTATTCTCTGTAAAGATAATAAGGACACAGACTGAGATAGGCAAGGTACAACCTCAAGCAGAGTTAGTCCATTTAGGGAACTGCAATAAAAGTGCAGAGAATCTGGAGCATTAGGTGGACCTGCGAGGAGAGACTGAGACAGTACTTAGACCAGCTGAGAAAAAAGTATGAGGTCTTTGGGGAGGTAATAGGTTTCAAATACAGAAAAGGCTGCTGAAAATAAAAAATAAACATTCCAGCTTCCAGGTCCTTTGAGGACAGAACAAGTAGCAAGGATTTGATTTTTTCCCTGTTTTGAAACTTAGGTTAAATGTTAGAAAAAAATTTAAAGGTAAAGTCAGTTCAGCAATACAGGAGGTTGCCTGGAGAGGCTGCAGAAGCTGCACTGCTGGGGGCCTTTAAGAACAGGTCAGCATCCTAGAAGGGCACAGGCATGCACTAATGCAAACTGATGTTACCTTAAGGCAGAAGACTGACCTTTCGGCATGCTTTCCAGTTCAAGATTTACAGACAAATTCAACCCCTTGGGGTAATCAGAAGGAAACTGAACCTAGATCTATGAAGTCCCAGCCTGTCCTCAAAATTATGGTAGGACCCTACCAGCTAACAACCAACTGCATCTTCTTCTGCCTCCAAAGCATGGAAATGCAACAGCTTTCCTACTATAGTGGCACAGCCATAAAACAAAGCAGAATAAGTGTTTACATTAGGACTATCAGTTGTGATCACCTTGCAGCACGCTGGGCTGACATTCAGGTAAGATGTAATGCAGAGGTACATAGTCATTTGTACAACATAAGCCACCTTTCCCAGATTTGCCTGGCTGTGACCATACTGACAGCACTACGCAGAAGTCTTTCTAACAAAATATTGGGCTAGTTACTCAGTCTGTTCTCATTCAACTGCCATCCTTCCAATTCTTGGCCAAACTATCAAGTAGACCAAATACATAAGGAAAATAAAAACATACCTGATTAAGGTTTATTTTTAAGGAAGGTGTAAAGACTGCAAATCCTTAAATCCTCCCCCAAAATGTGAAGCTTGTAAGTTACACATTACTTTCATGTTTTGCTCAGCTTTTGCATTTTGATCAACTTAAATGATTTTCACTTTCCCTGTCCAGTTAGCTTGCCAGGGGCTAGTACTGTGTCAGTAATGAGAACACCACAAGGAATGGTTAAGTAAAAAAGATTCTCCAACCAGATTCTTACCTCTTGTCCCATGTTCCTTAAAAGATTGAGGGCTTGAAATTCATCTTAATTAGAATAAAACACTATGCCCCATGTACAACTAGGGAAAAGGATCCCAGAAATACTTTGATTGCCACACAGCTTAGTTATCTTTGTTCCCACATGTTTTACAACAGTGAACATGCATGTAATTCTTTGCTCCTGTGAATGCGAACGTGCCTTCCTTTTCACATGCCCCTTTTTTGTCAGTAACCAGTTTATTTCATGCCCAGGGTCAGCACAATGCTGACTCCCATATTTGCTTTAAAAATCAGAAATAATCAAGGATGAAAAAATCTCTTTCTGTAAATAAATTTAGTATAGATTCAAGCTGAACAGGATTATTGTGCTTCATGCACACACACAAAGGAAACATGACAGCCCACAGATGTAGAGACTATTCTCTCCTCCTCTCCAACTCCATCCCCTCTTTGCAAACCCTGTCATTTCAGTATCCACAGAAAAAAAAAGAAAAAAGCAGACCAAATGGCACTGCAGGATTTTTGTGGGAGTAATGTACAAGTCTCTTTTTTTAGTCTGTAAAGCTCTGAACTTGAGTGCTCAAGAATACCTTGGAGGAGAGCACTCTGGAGCAGAGAGCTCTGAGACGCTGCCCTCAGCATTTCCCTAAGAGCCAGCAGAGAACAGTGGCACTGCAACTTTTGCTGGGACTCACCAGAAAAACAGCATGAAACTCCAAATTTTGCTGTAAGCATCAGAGCCTCCCAATTATTCTGCCAGCCAGCAATGTTGCAGGCTAAAAAACTGCCAGGATACAGTTCCTTCTGGTGAGGGATTCGCCTCTTGCTCCATCTTTTCTAATCTCTGGACACGCACACAAAGCATTCAAGTCCCAAAGGCCCCAGGTCTGCCAAACAATCTGTAGCCAAGGCCTTCTATTCTTTGTATCAATATTTTAGCAGGCTTTCCCACTTAAAAGTTTCCTGAAAGCAAGGATGGATAAATGGAGTCTGGAGTTACTTTCCTTTCTTAGTGAAGATCTAGACCCCCTCGTTTCAGTGGTGAGAAAGTCTGAGTGAGTGAGCGAGTGCATCGGCCCTCTGGTGACCTCAAGTATCTTGCTCACCTGTAACATATTTGTCTCTGTGGTTGGGAAGCAGCACAAGGCGTGCAAGACATTGGGAGGGACAGGGAGCATTAAGTGATACTGAGATGACAGATTAGCTCAAATGACTGACAACTCACGAAGGCCTGGTTGCTGCAAGCGCTTTCCATTGTCCACTATTGACCAAACGATCCCTGCTCTTGCACAGCACAGACAATCAGTGCGTCACTCCCATAAATAGAAGCGCATCCTCTGCTGAAATACTGACCTAATACTTATCTAATAGTTACAAGACCAGACTTTGTGTTCTTTATCCAAAGGTCAGTTGCTCCCCAAAGTGTATTATTCAAAAGGAAATCAATCATGTTTAAGTTTCTGAGCAAATGGAAGTGTTTGCTTGGCAGTAGCAGAAGGGGCACAGTGGCACTGCAGAAGAAGCACTGGAGAAGAGAAGAAACATCAATATTTACTTGATCAGAGACAGCCATTCAGCCATACTATATTCCATATAAGAGCACATGAAATGGATGCTAGAGCTTACATTCTACACTGCTTTGACCAAGAAAGCCAACAAAAACTTAGTTTTTGTATCTATTTCACAGAGGTTGCAGGCTTAATATACACATGATATATTACAAGCTGGGGCCAAGCAAGAACTTGTTATGCACTTTGGAGAAAGTAGCCTGATGCTGTGTGGTAGGTTTTTATGTCGCACTAGAGCTAACTACAGTCAGAGGCACACATCCCCAGTGAGGGCCACCTCGGCACGTCAGTCACACAAAACCTCTCCACAAGGAAAGATGGGCAGGATCACACTGCGAAGTCAAAAAAAGGCTGATTTTGATAGATGGTCGTTTCATCTCTGCACCACATAGCATCAGAAAGTAGCTCTGTAAGTGCAGATTTCCAGGGGCTGAAGAGCTTCATTTCAGTTAGCATGTTCACAGTGCAATTATCTAAATAATTTCTTGTTTGCAGAATAAAAAAAGAAAAACACAATGAAAAAAACCACAGCACCTTTGTGTGCCAGGTCTGGACTACAACTGCATTATTATTTAAGATGCAGAACAGCGTGTCCTTCAAGTTTTGAAAGATTCAACACCACCATACAAACCCCAGCCATGTTCACACTGGAATTTTCTCCACTAACATAAAGTGAATACTCACCAAATACAAACCAAGAACATATTATAAAAAAATAAACAAACCACTTACCAAATACAAGCAGCCTGGAGTTTTGCTGCAGGCAACAGGTCAGCTGTCGACTAAGCAACATTGACGCCATTTTATCTCTGCTTTACTCAAAAAGACTCAATCTTGAGAGATTTTTCTGGCTGACGTTCTGAAAACAAGAAAAGCAAACAGTTATTCCTGCAGCCCCTATTACTGTGCCATTCATTTCCATTTCCCCTTTCACTGATTTCAATCCAAAGAAACTGAGAGCATGCTTTGAAGGATTACTGCTGATATTCAGTCTCCGGATTGAGTGGTCTTGTCAAGACAAATGACTCCTAGGCTAAATCTGAATCTCTTAGCTTTTCGGGGCCAGGGGGTAAAGGTCACTGTTTTCACTTGCTCTTCTTCTCTACTTTCTCTATGTATGTGGACTATGTTGAACTTTTAAAAAATTGTTTCCAGTTAGCTTCTCCAGTCAATCTGTTATTTTGATTTGACCTAAGTTTATGAGAAAAATCTCATCTGATACAAAAAGACAGCAGGACAAGCACTAGGAAATATAAGAAAATCAATCCCCTGAAAAAACAGTTTCTACCAATTAATCGTATCTCTGTGGAGAGGGACTGCTGAGAGCCTGAAGAAGGCTCAGGTTGCATCCCATCAATGTGTAATAAATATCTGATGGGAACGAACAAAGAAGGAGCCAGGGTCTTCTCAGTGGTGTCCAGTGGCTGATAAAAGGCATTGGGCACAAACTGAAATACAGTAAGCTCCATTTAAACATAGAAAAATCCTGGACAGGTCAGCCAGAGACAGTGTGGAATCACCATGCTTGGAGACATTCAAAACCCAACTGGACACGGTCCTGAGCAGCCTGCTTTAGGTGACACTGCTTGAGTAGGGGTTGGACCAGATGACCTCCAGAGATCCCTTCTAATCTCAACTGTTCAGTGATTTTATCTCAGCTAGTTAAATATAAATGACCTTGTAAAGTCAACTAGCATGAACTATAAGACGGCTCCTTTTTCACTCTGGATCACCTGTGCAGAAAGCCTAGCTGGAAGTCATAAATAGATAAAACAGGTCATTGAATTATTATCCAGAATACAGGTTAAATTCAAACTTTACATTTAGAAGAGTGGTACCTTGTGTTCTATATAGGACACTAGACACCGGTTTTGCCTGCACAGAGACCAAGCTGGCATTTTTCACCTCACTGGATGTCCCTCCACCCCAGTGGGTGTAGACCAATCATTTAGTAGCAATGAACCCAGGCTTGCAGTCCAAATAAAATGTCACTATTACCCGTAGAACTCCTGTGAAGAACTCTGTTTAACAAATACGGTCCGAGAATGGAGCCGATCTTCCAGCAGAAATAGATCACAGCTTACTGCTTACATCATTTCTATGCCATCAATAAAATATGCAAACAGATGTTGATGACTAGATGCAGGGAAATAGTTGATCTATTGCTACAGAGATAGGACCTATCTCTTATCCAACACTAATATATCAGAAATTTAATTTCTGTATTGTCTTTAGCCAAGATACCATTTGCTTTCCTTCATGCTTGAGCTTTTTCAAAACTGGCAAAAGAAAACAAAAAACCCCTTGCCTACAGAGATCTGTTCATTCACAGACCTACTAATACTCAGGTACAAAGAAAATTCCCCGTGTCTGCCCAGACAATCAACATAGCACTTGGTTTCACTTAAGTTTGCTCTGAGTTCAATTTAAAATTCAAGGTATTTTGAAATTTTCCAAGGTGAGCAAACACTTGCACAACATTCATGCACACACTGGGAAAAGCTAGATTAGCTTTGCAAGGTTTTGGGTTAGAAGTATAGAGAGATCTAGTTAATTTTTTTCAGAAAAGAGTAACTTCACCTATAAGACAAGATTCATTTACGTCATTAATTAATTTTTCACTCTCAGCTTCTTTCTTTCATTGTGTTAGCTTTTGCATGATCAGTGTGTAAAGAAACATCCCAATGCCATAAATTTCTTATCTCATGACTATCCTCTAGCAAAAAACAGATGCTAGTCTAAGTCAGTGAGACAACCACTATGGAAAAAAGCTGTTGAAGGGTGAATCAGCCCAGCACCTCTCACAATTATTAACCACCTTGATTGATGTCCTCTGCTCAGAGGTATTTATCCAGCCTTCACTTCTGCAATCTACAATTCCCTCTTTAATTTTGCTCTGCAAAGTATTTCTTTTTAGAAGTCTCTTGGAGCTGTTAACTTTTAACACAAACATACCTTTGCAGGAACTAACAAATGGAGCAGTGCAAACGTACCTATGACAGAAGGAGAAAAAACAACCCACCAAGGTTTGCTTCCTCATTCTAGTCCCCTTTGGTCATCTCCCATGGGCACTATGCTACAAACTGACTAATCCCCCTTCCCCACCACGCTGAGATGAAGCCTCTTCACATACAAATCAAACATACTGCCAAGTCGTGCTGCATGGTCGCACCCACCAGTGTCCAGGTTTCCCTGCAGTGGTACCTAACTCTTCCTTTCGTAGGTGAACCGCTTCTACTTCTTGGCTCCCAGAATATTATTTTATCTTTCATATAAACTTACTGTTTATCTTAAGTCCTTTAATGGTTAAAATACAATATTCATAAAAGGATCAAATACATATTTGGAAATGGTATTGGCGTTCTAAAATACTCCTAGAAAAAAAATTATTGCAAGAGGTTTAAAAATAAAGTAGCTTAGCCCTAATTTTCCTTGACAGTTGTTATATAAAAATTTTTACCATTTTCTAGTCCAGAGTCAGAATAAATCATGTAATATCATATTTGACTATAACTAAAATCAACTTCTTTTCCATCTCCATTACACACACAAATTCTCACATGAGATCAGCCGATGTGATTGGTATATTTGTCTAAGCACATATTATTTGGTTATCATAATAACCAATTGAATTTTGCCTCCATAATCCATCTCCTAATCAATTCCCACAGGCCCAGCTGGTTCCAGCCCTGCAAGCAGCAGCAGCACAGCCTGTAACCAGCAGACACAGGCTCTCGTGCACATGTCAAAACCGCAGCAAAGCCACGCTCCATCACCACTGCTGCTTCGGAGCCACTGCCTAAAATCCCCTAAAATCTGGGGAAAATACATCCACCAATTTCAGATATCGGACTGTAAAGATGGTGTGAAGGACAACGTTTGGACTAAGTGTGTGATTAAACACTAGCTACCTTAGACCTCAAATAGGTGAGGCTTTTCCAGAAAAAAAAAAGAGATTCACAAGTCTTCTCTATAAATATTTTTCCTCTAATAGCAACTATCTGAGCCAGCAGAGGCCATCATTACAGATGACTGTACAAAACAGCTGTATTTGCATATTTTTTAATGCAATTTTGCATTACGTAAACACATGCATTGGCAAATACAGTTTAAGTCACAATCACATTCCTTCAGTAAGAAAAAATATTTTCTAAGAGGAAGGTCAGTACAGTTTATTGAACGCATGAAACATTGATATGTGGATTTTTTAAATGCACACAATGTGAAATTGGATGTATTTTTTTCCACAGCAGCTCTTAAAATTCTGTACTGAGTGATTATTTCTGACAGGCAAAATTAGTTACTAGGAACGACAGCAGTCATTCAGCAGCAGCAGCGGTAGCCTATTGAGAACATACAAAGGCGCATTGTTTCTGTGAGCTAACAAGATTCTGTTTCATAGTGGGAACCCCTGGAAAGAATTAAAAAAAAAATTCAAGAGGGACCCCAACATTCAGGGAGGCTTGATCCAGATACAAGAACAAAACCATACAAACTAGGAGTTTGTATAACATTCCCGCTTGCTGGCAGAGAAGCTAATGCAGCATGACGTCCTCGTTTCAGACTGCAGCTGGCATGAACCTGCCTCTGAAAGCATCTTTGGGACAGACGCAGAGGTAAGAGGTGAAACAGAGACACTGCAAGACACGGATGAAAAGTCAGCACTGCAGATTTGCATCTCTGTCTTGCAACTCATGCCAAAGACACAGAAGCCTGTTTTAAATTCATGGGGGCACATTCATCTGTCCCTCAGCTGCTCCAAACCCATTTAACCAGAATAATTAAGTGGTTTAGAAACAGCAGCCCAAGCTGCACACTGCGATTACTCCACAAGTCCTCACAATACGTATTTTGGGGGCCGGGAGCAGGGAGGTAAGGGCAAATTAATTCCTTCTTTGCTGTTTTCCTTCGCCTGACTTTTCTATGACTCACAGCAGCGCTCCATATTAATTGCAATGAAATTTAAAACATCTCAAACTATCTTTTACTCTTGTTTGCTTGGATCCACCTCAATGTGAAAGCAGCACCAGGCTTACTGGCTTTGCAAACTGCACGGGGTCTGCTGGTGGCACAGGGGCAGCAGCCCAAGATCCTGAAGCCCTAGCATCCCGCATGGCGGTGGCCGCTTCCCCGGCCCCTTGGGAGCCCACAGGCAGCACCAGCATTACACCTGAAAGCAAAACTACCCTCTCCACACCCCAGCCTGGCCTGGCATCCTGGAGGTGAGCTGGTGCAGACAGCTTCTAAGAGGGTGTTTCTCAAAGCAGTGAGAAGGCCCTCCAGTTCACAGCTCAGCATGCTCCCACACTGCATTTTCTGCATCTGTTTTTTTAAACAGTGGAAATGTTAAAAATGTTTTTTAAACTGCAAATGGGGAGGCCAAGTCAGCTACAGTTCCTGTGACTAAAACAAAAGAGCACTGTTGAAAATTCTGGCAGTACTCAGGTAGCTGCGCTGGAAGTGGGAAAACACTGCAAAGCTGATTTTCCTTTGGAATTAAAAGTTAATTTCCCTGGCTTCACAAGATAGCGAGTCCAACTACTGTTACAGAGCCCCACAATGTGATAAAGCTCTACCGGTCAAATTTTTTTGTGTTATCTTCCATGAGCTATTGTTTCTTTTTTTCTAACCACCACAACGCTCCCACACCTGCATATCAAGAGGTCTTCAAACAACTTTTCTGGAAAAGAATCAGACTGGCATACGTCAGAGGCAAGCTGGAGAGAGTCCAGATACTGGGGCCAGGACATGGGCACTAGGAAGAAGGAGTCACAGACCCTGTCACACAAGCAGCGACTACCATATGGTGAGTCAGAGATAAGATAAGTAGTTCTGAAAGAGGGAAAAGATGGAAAGGCTGCCAAAACCGGAGCTGGATGGGGCTGCAACTTCTGAGCTGGTCAGGGACAAGCTTTCAGCCTCATTCATGCTGCCCAAGCCCTATCATCTCTTACTCTGCAACAGCGTGACAAGTTAGAAGGAAAAAAATCTTAACTAGCCCTTCTACATTTTGCACCTGGTAAACTCCTGAAAATCCCTTGTTACTAATTTTTTATTATTTTCACCAACTTCTGGCAGATAGCATTCCATGTCTGGGGCCTGCCAAACAGCTGAAGGGCCCCGTCTTAAAAAAATAGCAACAAACAGACCTGGATTTTTAAAGGGGGACAAGTCTCCTGGTTTGCACTGTTCATAAAGAAGCATCTTTCATGCTTTAGGTGATGAAGCTCAAGTGTTTTACTTCTAAAGACAGCACAAGGAGATCCCACAGTCTGGAATATCCCTGCAATTTCACAAAGAAATGTAAGTATGAGTGAGGCAGAAGACAGTTGAGCCTCTCATCCTTTAAACATAATCACGTTCTTTCTTAGTCTGCATTTGAGGAAGAATGGGGCAACCTAATGGCATGGCAGCATCTACATAAAAAGATGATGTATCCAGCACTCGCTGTCTGAAAACCTACTGCAATCATTAAGTACTGCTCCACCGCACTGTTCATAAACAAGCATCTTTCATGCCTTAAGTGATGAAGCTCAAGTGTTTTACTTCTAAAGACAGCACAAGGAGATCCCACAGTCTGGAATATCCCTGCAATTTCACAAAGAAATGTAAGTATGAGTGAGGCAGAAGACAGTTGAGCCTCTCATCCTTTAAACATAATCACGTTCTTTCTTAGTCTGCATTTGAGGAAGAATGGGGCAACCTAATGGCATGGCAGCATCTACATAAAAAGATGATGTATCCAGCACTCGCTGTCTGAAAACCTACTGCAATCATTAAGTACTGCTCCACCCTCCCCTGGGGAAATGGGGAATGTCCACATCCAATAGATCAACGCAGGGAAAAATTGAATGACTTAACCAGTGTTATTGACAGAGCACAGAGTGACATCAGAAATCCTGACTTACTGCTTTAGCCACTTAAATGTAGTAAACAACAAAGTAAATAAATAAATACGCCTGCCAGCATGTTGATGTATTTAACTGCAATTCACTTGGTCCCAGAAGCAGAGTTAAGAGTTCAATATAGACTATGTAGTTATGAAAGCCTGAGTGCACACAATGGAATACAACAGTTCCTTTTAGTTCAAGAGGTTTTTTTTCAAAGGGATATTTCTGAAAAAAAAAATAAATTGAATTAGCTTACAACAGCATTTGCAAGAGAAGTTTGTAAGTGTAACACCAAGAATTTCTAGTAATGGCTAGACTAAGGCTATCTCAAATTATCACAGGAATAGCAAAGTCCTGTTAAGAGGTAGATGCAAGAAAATTTACAAGTAGTGTTCATATAATGCTGGCATTAGATTTTTCCATTCAGCATCTATATAAACCCAACACAAAAACACAGCTGAAACCCTTGACTTCAGGAAGAATAACACCTAGGACCATCCTCATGAAACGGTGAAGAAAAGAGAAATAGGCTGCTCCTCACCCAGCGTGGTCAAAGGCCACAGCCTCACACTTCAAAAGTAAAGTTGGTTACAAGGACCCCACAACATCAGGCAGTAGCTGAGAAAGTCAGCCGACGAATGACTCTCATCAAGGAACAGGGAGTTTGTCCTTGGAAAGCACAGCTCACCAAGGCGTTTCCCACCAACCAACAACGACAACAAAACATGGAACAGCTACCTGCAAATGGAAATCTCTATCTACCACCAAAATGGATTTTGCCAGAAACACTTCACATGCTGACAGTTGCTTTTGCTGTTTATTCCTCTAATAACCTTCACGGCTTTGTGTAGAACAGGATGTAATTGGAAACTCCATGATTGTACTTAAGTTGTCAAGGACACAGTTGTCATAGTTACAAGGAAAGCTCAAGTGTCTGTTATTCATGGTTGCTTATTTATTTATTGACACCAACAGGATCAAACACTCCCACTAATCTTTAGAAGAACAGAAATGGGGAGACTGGTTTTGTCTTTCGAGTCTTGACAAAATGGTAAATATTGCACACAACAGTTTAAGTCTTCTCTAATAAACTGACTTTTTGCACAGCTACCTTACCTCACTCCACCTTCAGCTGGCATTCAAGTCAGTCTATTCTGAAAACTGCAGCACAAGCCCAAAGCAAGATGCAAGGCCCAAGAGAAAAACCTCATGTCTATAGCTTGAAAGTACCGTACAGTATCCATCACGACACGGCAATGCCCACCTGCCTCATGAGACCAACAAGAGGGGCAGAGCTGAACCCAGAACCAGTGAAGATGGAACAGAAATCTTCCGTCCTTCCAGCAAGTTTTAAAACTCATCTACAGTCACAAATGTAATTACACTCATGTCCAGTTTCTCTTCCTTAGATGTCTTCTAAGCACATGGTGGTTGGATAAGAATACATCTTTTTCTCTTTTTTTTTTTGTTTATTATAAAAAAAATAATCTTTCTGCCCTTGTCTCTGTTTTCCCCTCTCTCCAACAAATATTGGAGAAAGAAGACTCCTGGTCCATAACCCAATGAATAAGAACAGGTGGGAATGTTGTGAGTATGGCACACTAGGATTCAGGTGACCCACTAAACTCTTGAGCAGCTCATTTTTGATTCAAGAGCTATTGGAACAGCTAAGCTGGGATGAGATATGCACCTGTGACCACATGGTCACAGGAAAAGAAAAAATGGGGTCTAAAAAGCATGTTAGAAATTGGGCAAGTTCCAGATCGACAGTTAAAATACATACATAAATGGCATAAGCGTACATAAATGGTGGTAAAAACAAACACAACTAATGTTAGCTGAAAAAATTTGATTCTTTTTTAGTTTGACATTCCTTAATAGTTCCCACTGAAAAAAACAGCACTTTTTGATATTTCAGTGAACTTTACTAGTGAGCTACCCATGAGATCCTCTCTTCAAGCCTGTGTATTTTGAATCCATTATTTTAATTGCAGATGGCAACAACATATCCAAACCACACCTGCTAATTTCCACATTTCCCACACCAAAACAGGCCAGCTCTCAATGGGTTAAACAGCTTAAGTTATAACACAGCCGTGCTTTTCAGATTAATTGCTCCACAAGCGTTCTGTAGTTTTAGAAAAATTAATGTATTGCAAAATATCCTCAAGTGTAGCTTCCTCTGAGGAAATTCAGTTACATCCCTTGTACAGTTTTATTTCTTGGTATCCTACCACTGCCTCCTCAGAGGTCATGAAAACGGTAAATAAATAGCATCAAATAAAATGTACTGTAAAAGCACAATTTATTCTTCTGCTTCCTGAAGTCATAAAATAGCTCACTTGGAGGCAGCCTGCACCAAACCAAGGAAAATGTCTTAACCAGGAACAAGTGCTCTGGTTTCTCAAGGTGACCCCCATTTCAGCTGAAAACACAGAAAAGCAGAGCCACGCAGGAGATCTCTTTTACAAGGGGTGCAGCAAACAACCTGGGAACATCTAACCACGCGTACCCATGACAGGGACGTTCTAACATGTCACACGCCTGCACACACACAGAGACACACATTCCCCTCCCAACAGCAAGCAGGGGAGCGCAGTCCTTGCCAGCGTGGCCGGGGTCTGCGCTAACCCCCACCGCACACAGAGACAGGCACTTACAGCACTTGGATGAAACTCCCTGCAGCCAGCCGGGTCCTGGAAACGCTGCTCTCCTTCACCTTAGAGCAGGCTGCTGCCGGCCGCATCCCCGAGGAGTGCCATTGCTGCCAGCTCCCTCCAGCAGCCGCTCGCCACTGCCGCCAGCGAGGACAGGCATCACCCGCAGGAAACCCCGAACTGCCACCCTGCAGCTCAGCTGGGGGGGATGCCCCAGTTAATGAAGGTTAACGAAACCCGCTCCTGCAAGCTATACCCCGTGCTCAGCCACAGCCAGCGGAGACATACCCAGCCCAAACCCAGACCAGCAGCTCTGCCCCGTGACTCTGGCACGGGGTGCAGCCCATCCGCCTGGTGCCCTGAGAGTCTGAGTCCACCCCAATGCCTTCTGCCAGGTTTCTGAAACCAAAGCCCCGAAGCGCAGAGCCAGACTGTTTGAAACGGCCCCTTAGTTTTCAAGAATTGTGGAAGCTGAAGAACAGGTTTTGTCCTCAAACCCTTTCATTTAATTCTGGTTTGGAAATATCCCGTGGGTGACACCTGGGCTCACAACTGTCCAAAAACAACCTCGTTTGGGCTCAGTTGCTCCCGGTTTCTCCAGGCAGCCCCACAGCCAGCACACATCCCAGGGCTGCCCCCCGCGCATTGCCCGAGACCGGGAATGGAGGGACGCTGACACGCACAGAGAATAACAGCAGGGGCTGGGCTGCAGCATCCCTTCAGGCCCACGGACGGACAGGGTGCCATGGCGGAGGCAGGGATGCCATCGCCAGGTTGCCATGGCGCCGGGGGGCAAGAGGGAAGATGCGCCAGGGTGCAGGAAAAGGCTGAGCCGCTTCAGATTTAAACCCCTGTGACAGCGTTTCGTCTGAGCCACTGCACGGTTGCTGTGGCAACCAACGAGTGAAAAATCACAGAGGAAATCTGTAATTATTACAAGCAAGATGGTGACTTACCCACTTCAGTAATCAGGGCATTAGAAGAAGTCGAGCCGAGGAGGGGGTGCTCCGTGCCCACTGACAGGCAGGGAGCCAAATCCCAGCTGCAGGACCTGCTTTACGCCCTGTCTCCCGTGGGCTCCAGCTGCGGGATGCAAGGTTTCGGCAGGATGCTTTGCTGAGCGTGGGGTTTGAAGGCTGCCTGAGGGGCTGTGACCCAAGCGCCTGCCCCCACGTGCTGCAAGGAGGGAGATGGGGGAGCAGCCCAGTCCTCAGGGAGCCAGAGCCAGCCCCAGACTCCTGCCACCTCGGCTCAGCACAAGGAAGGGTCTAAGACAGACAGAGGGAAGGACAGCTATCGGAAGCAAGTGACAGCGATGGAAGACGCAACGCTTGTAGGAAGCGGCTACGGTCCCTGGCAATTTCGTGATTCCCGTTCGCGCTGCTATTACTGCACCGCGCTTTCTTCTTCCACCTTCTCCAGTGCAGTAACAGCAGGAGTATTTATTCGGCTGGGGTGGATGTTGTGATGATTACCATGCTAATACTGGAAGGACAAGGGACACAAAGTCGTTCAGGTTGACCAAACGCACTCTGCAGCCTCTCTCCGTTATAACATTATCCCGACACAGATAATTTACACACCCACAAACGCGATGCCAGCATCCACACAACCAATTTCTATCCATTGCCCAAGTATATGGTTTAAAGGCACCATGCTCCTCTCCAGAGTTCTTCTGCACACTATGGACAATTGATCACCACCCAGACAAACTGCTAATGAAATTGCCGTTAACACCAATAAGGAAGGGAATCAGACATGGCTAACTGTCTCCATTCCCTTCTCCTTGGCCATAAGACTGTGGCCTGGATCCCAAGCGAGCACTAGTAGCTGTCAAGAAAGGAGCCCAGGCTGCAGTCATTTATAAGACAGATACCATACTACTCCTAAGTAACAAGCTGTTGATTTGATCCAAATTAAAGACTGAAGCCGATCCCTCACCTTCTTCATAATTTAAAATCTGTTATCAATTACATACACAGACTGTAAATGACATATTTAAGCTGGCCTGTACTGGTTGCCAGACAGTAAAACAAACTGCTGACTCTAAATTGAATTTGTTAACTAGCTAAACTACCACAAAAGGTGCAATAATACCATTCAGACAGATGGTTAGTGCAGGGACACATCACAAAGTAGAGGGGGAAGGACTGAGGAAAGTTGTAGGTATTTACACTCACCACGTATAAAACATTGGATTCAAAGGCAATGCTTTGTGTCAGCGATACACTGCAACACTTACTCAGTGAATAATCGGGATTACAGCTCCTAAGGGTGCACTCCGGGGAGACTGAGGTATGACAAAGAAATTTTTGTGCATCTGCTGAGTGCTACCTTACATGATGTGAGGCTAAAGTCATTAAACAAAATTATCTTGTATGAAAAGTACTTCTTACTGTGAAGTGCTATAGTGGCGCTAACAATTTATAAGACAACATCATCTAGAGACTCCAGTCAGCATCGTGCCCCATCGTGCTAAGCCATGTCGCGTCCCACTGCTTACAAACTCATCATCCAGAGGGAGAATAATTCGGTAATAAACTCTTATTTGTAGTGGAATATTTTTTTTTTATTTTAACCCTTGGATCAAATGGCTCGACACTGAGCTGTCACTTCCTAGGTAGGACGTAAGTTCTTGCTGTGACGTATGGCTGCTTTCAGCCCCTTCGCTCACAGCACAGCCCCTCCATATCCATAATTCCCCTGCCTGGCAGGCTGGAGGCACAAAGGGGATGACAAAGTCTGTCGCAGGGCAAAGAACACAGAAGGCCCAGTCATTCTTATGTCGGTGATTTGAAGCAACTATAACTGCTAAACACTTATTTAAGTTGTATTAAAAATGTACAGTTGTAACAAGGCGGCCACAGACTTCCACTTGATTTAATCAAGAGAACATTGGTAATGAGATCTAGTTGAATAGTCCGTCATCGGAAAGGACATCACCAATCACAAGTATATGCTCTGCACTGATATGCAGCTTTCCAAGGAAGACTCGTTACACAATCTTTCACTGTTAAGAAATAATCTGCTTTAGCAGGATCAAAAGCATGCATTTCCACTGCTAGATATATTTTTATGAATCAATACTACACACATCCTTCTGAAATACATTATTTATCTGATATATATACATGTCTGAAATACATACAAGGCAAAACAGGGATCAGATTCTGCCAGGCTGGTCCAGGAGACCAAGGAGAAGTACAAGGATAGTATGAAGGACACTGTTTTTATGGGAAATATTAGAAGGTTTAACTATGTTATCAACTGCTGGATTTCACCCAAACGATGACAAATTCTTCCAGAAGCAACTCTTTAGCCCTTCTTAATCCTTCCCTCACACTCTAGAAAGCACCTGCTAGAATTTGTTAGGAAAACAAAGCATTTAAAACACAGAGCTACGGTACTTTAGAAAAATTCAGTATCCAGAAATAGCAGTTCTAGGGTACAGACAAAATGTCAAAATCTTAACGTCATACACGCCTGCAAGAAAACAAGAACAAAACATGTTAGTATCACAAAGCAGAGGACAAGGCACACCAGGATACTCAGCACCAAGTTCTAGTCCTCCTTCAAAAAATGGAGTTGCTACAGGACTAAAAGCAGGGTCTCAGGACCCCAAACTTGCATAAAGAGGAAAAGCAACACCCCCCTTAAGGGCTTGCCATGTTTGGAGAAGGAATAAAGCACTAAAAGGAGTGTCAAATCAACTTTTAAGTACCAGTAACAGTAATTAGTAGGTTCATTTTAAAATATATTAAAAAAAAAATCTTTCAATGTAGTTGGAAGAAAACATGAAGTATGACTATATAAACGTTGACCCCAAGTTAATCATAAAAATCTGAGCAAATGGTTTGCAGACAGAAGGATAAGAATCTTATTTTGATGAAGAGGATTATCATGAAGGGCAAAACAGAAAAAAGGGAAAGACTGGGACTGCTTAGCTTTGCAGGAAACCCAGGACACTGCAGCTTTTCTAACCTATAGCTAGTCAGAAGATTGCTTCCCACCCTAGACATTCAATAATATTACACTAAGAATATAGAGGCAGTTTATTCTTCTTTGAACTAAGCAAAAAGCCACATGAACAGAGCGGAATTCAATGCAATCAATACCACTAACCTCCAGGGATTTCTTTGGTGGGCAGATGCTCAGCTTAAAAAAACAATAATCAGAGGTTGGGTGTGTGCAAGGGCACACCTGAGCTGCACCTGCGTTTCCTACAAACCAGTAACTGGTTTAACTTACACGACACAGGGAGAGTGGGATCACCCTCTTCTGTTCTTCAGATGTCAACTACTTTAACTCCCATTAAACATGAGACCTTCACATTCGGAATGAGGAGAAGGAAAGGGATATAGGAATTAAGCACAATTACTATGAATTTATACTATTCAAAAGTCCTATTATTGCCTGTTTTGTCAGGCAACAGGTTAAAAGAACAGCAGTTGGACAGTTTTCAAAACAGTTTAGGGAACACAGACACATACACAGTGTTAATCACTAGACTCTGTGGCTAAATTCCCCATTATGTTTTGAAAATTATTTTTGAGCTCCAGATGGACGATTAAACTAGTGCCAATCTGATTCAGCAAAACACATATTTCTCAGGTGGCGCCTTTTACTTCACTGGGCCCATTCACAAAACTGTCGTTGCGACTGAGACAAAGCACTCTGTTAAATTAAAAACAAGGTAGAAGAACTGGTAACTGGAAGACTCATTGAAGGTATCAAAATCTGAAAGTTACCCTCTAGGGAAAAAACTGCATAAACTGTGCTTATTTGCTCCTTATATGTTGCCTATTTGACAAAAATAATGAAGCTGCTGCATTATAACATTTAACACAAGTACTAAATACCTGGATACAAATTTGAGGAGATAAATTAGACCTTACTAAGCATGCTAATGGCTAAACTCTCTTGTAAAGTCTCAGCGAGGTCCATCTGTGCTGCACCCTCTACTCTCACGATAATGCTGACACCCACACAAGAGGCTGAGCGCTGGTCTTTCAGTCTGATACATAAAAGCTATGAATCACATGAATGTGGAGATTCTGTATGTCACATTTAGGTAGTTAAAAAGTGTTGGACAGTTTTGGAAAGGCTGCTAGTACTGGGCAAATCTTTATAAAAGTTTCTATTGTAAGTTGAGCAAATCCAGCATAGCTGCTGGGGTAAGAGAAGAGGGACCTGCAATCAAGAGAGTGTTGAAGGAATCCTCGTGCAACTGTGATGCCCAGAGAAGCTGCACAAATTGGGAGTGGGGACACACACCCAGCATATTATTTCAGTTGCTTCTGGAATCACAGAAGATACCCACTACTTCCATTTCATAAAGGAGAAGGCCCATTGGACTGGATTTACAGACAAGCTAAAAGCAGGAATGGAAAACAACTGATTTCTAAGGCTTTGGGAGCAAACCTTATTTGGAATATCTACTTGCACCCACACTCCAAGAATGGTTTGAAAGCTTGTGAGAAGTACCCAAAGCCAGTGTCCATGCCATCACCAGCCGGTGTCAGTGCCACACACCTCACCTCCCACACCAGCCATTTCACTTCCAGCAACCAAGAGAGCCAGTGGACATCCTTGCAGCTCCGCAAAGATCCCATGAGGAACATCCATGGGTGCACTGCAAGGAAATACCTTGCAAATATAGGTTGTAACAATGAAAATTAAGTAACAAATCAGCTGGCAATACCACTAGCCTTAGTGTGGTGGAACAGGTAGGAGACTGCGCTTTCTATCAAATACCACAAAAACACTGCGTAAGAGCAGAGAAAGACATCTTAATTCAAGCTGTCCTGTGGCACAGGGCAGCACCTATCCTCCCTTCCCTCAGTCAGACAGGCCTGCCTCTGTAACTACAATACTGCCACAGAGGCACCAGTAAACACTAGGAATGGCTGCTGTACCAAAAAGAGACCAAGGTGAAGCTGTTGCCAGTGTAATTTTAAGCAGCTCCCTCAAGTTTCTCCAGGCTGAGTATGTCAGTAAGGAATAAGGAGCTAGTAGGTTAGACAGCTTGTTTGTTTATTTAACAAAAATCTTTTAAGGAAAATACTTATCTTTCTAAGGATAGCTCATGAAAGTAAGCGGTGCTAGCACAATGGGACAGCAGAGCATCTCCCTTCAGAGCGCTGTCCTCCATCCTCCTCCAGTGGTGCTTAACCTCTCCCTCTCAAGAGGCCCCAAGAGAGCACTGTCATAGCAGCTCAGAAAAATAAAAAAGGC